AACCCACTCCAGTATTCTTGCCTGGAGAATCCCATGGAGGGAGGAGCCTGGAGGTTAGAGTCCATGGGATTGCAGAGTGTAGGACACGACTGAAGGGACTGAGCACTCACATGGGATCTTCAGCAGGAGCACTCGTAGCTGTGGCAAGGGAGAACTAGTTCCCTGACCAGGGATTGAACCCCAGCCCTTTGCCATGAGAACTCGGAGTGTTAGCCATTGACCCACTCACCAGGGAAGTTGTTGCCCATCACTGAAGTTGGGACTGTGTTCTTTTATTTCTCTTTACTGATTTACAATACCTGATTTACAATATTGTGTAAGTTTCAAGTGTATAGCAAAGTGCTTCGGTTATATGTGTGTATCTGTATTTTTTTTATTCTTTTCATCATCGTTTATTACAAGGTATTGAATATAGGTCTTGTGCTATACCATAGGTTCCTGTTGTTCATTTGTTTTATCTATGGTAGTGTGTATCTGTTAATCTCATACTCCCAGTGTTTCCCTTTCCCCTCCTGCCTCTTTGGTAACGACGTTTGCTTTCTACCAAAAGTTTGTTTTCTGTCCATGAGTCTGTTTCTCTTTTGTAAATAAATTCACTTGTGTACTGCTTTTTAAATTCCACATATAAGTGGTGTCATATGATATTTGTCTTTCTCTGTCTGATTTACTTTCCTTAGTATGCTGACCTCCAGGACATTAGGGACTGTGTTCTATACACTGTCCATGCTGTATTCCCAGGGCCTACGACTCCGGTGACTGACACACAGCAGGCCATAACTATATTTGTGGAATTACTGAGGTGCTAGTTCTTATGAGATGGTTGAGGGCAACCCCGTGTGGTCAGTAATTTGGGACTGCCTGGGCCCACTCTGTGGGCACATAAAAAGGTTGACTTCCCTGTAGGTGGGCAGCGGAGGATCCCTGCTTTACCCTGCTCACCAAGTATTCTCTCGGGGACAATTATGAAGCCGGTTCTAGTGATCTACATTAATAGGGATGAAGAAGTGGTACATACACTGGAGTTTCTACGCAAAGACCTCTTTCTTGACTCTGAGACACTGAGCCCTATCAGATGGACGTGGGAGCATGATGCAGAGATGACCTAAAGAAAAGGGAATCTGGTTCAACACTTTAGAGCCAGCTTTGGCTCCGAGCCATAGCCTCAGGACAGCCTGGCACAGGTCATCGAGCCCTTCTCTTTGGCATCCCGGGAGATAGCATCACCGTCTCAGGATACACCATGTAATTTCTTTCTCGTCACTGCTGTGACACCTCAGATTTCTTTGCCATTCCAGAGTAGTAGCACCGATTATGTGTCCAGAGCGCCCATCCAGAAGTTCGGCTTCGTAGCAGGCTCACATAGTAGATAAAGATGGTCATACTATCAGAGTGCACGGTAGTTCTTTAAGAAGAGACTAAAATCACTTCCCCAGAACTTGGACTTCTCTTAATGACTTCTGAGCAGACCTTTAGGATGGTGACCAGGAAAGCTGGCAGTTTGGTAGGAAGATACCATGCAAACCTAGAGGTGACCGGTAAAGAAGGCTTTGCTTCTTCTAAAGTCACTGGAGCAGAGGGATACCTCTAGTTCAGGGGATGCCTCGGTTGCTGAAGACTCACGTCTCGTTCACTCCCTGCTTCTTTCTTCCAATGGTCCTGCAGTTAGGATGCGGTTTCTGACCTCAGGTGTGTCACAGTAAGGACTTACTGCACAGGTCAGTTTCCTTCACGATTCTCCCCACATTGGCCGTCACACGGCTTCACAGTCCTTCTTTCCCCACACATTGGTCTTAGAGCTTCTGGCAGCCACTCCCACCATCGTGATGAGAAAAAAGATGGGTGCAGTATGCGTACGTGTGTATGTGTATACATGTCCTCATGAACACTCAGCCAGCCATTTTTTTGTGTTGTAGTCCACTCATGCACTAAACTCAGGCAACAGACTGTGGTTGTGCCAAGTAGCTCTTCTGGTCTTTGAGAGCTCTGGGATAAAGCCACAAAATGCGCTGCTCCTCCACCAGCTGATGCCCCAAAGGGAAGGATGCAAATTCTTGCGTATTTTTGGATTCCTTTCATCACAGGAGAGGTGAACAACTTGATGGGAATGCATGTTGCTGCTATTGTTGGGATTTTTTTTCAGAATGACAAACTCTCAATGAAAAGTTAAATTCCAAGGCATGGGCAAAAAGCTAGAATTAGAATCCAAGTCTCCAGACAGAAGCCTCAATGCTCAAGACTCTCAAACTCACTGCCTCTGTTAATCAAATTGTAGTCTTGTCTGCATGGGGTAGGAGGAGGGGTAAGAATTAGACACCCCTGCAGAGAGCACAAAGTGAATGAATGTGGAGTCATAGCTTCCTCTCCGCAATGAAGCCATATGTTTCCTGAATTAATAGAGATATTATTTACTGCATGTGTAAAATAGACAAAGGCCACTTCGTGATGTCATTTTCTTATAATTTCTTACAATTTTCTCTATGTTTTTAGAATTAGGACTGACTTTTTTTGCTATAGAACTTAAGTTTAATTTCCTAACAGATGTGAAGGAAGGGCAGTTAGTTATGATACAGAAGATTATATGTTAAATAACTAGCCCTCTGAAAAAGTATGGCAACTTCAGTGAAAGATACTCTTTTACATTGGTTTCACTACTTAGAGGTAACCTCACAACATGCTAATCAATATTTTGCTGCCCATTTTACCATATAATCCAAAGGATGGTAAAAATAAAGTTCACCATATAGATCTGATTAATTGAAGAAAAATATTGGTTCTTATTGCTGACATTATGAGGTTAGAAATAGCATCCTATGCTAATCTGCAATGCCAAGAAATGAAGATGGTTTAAATCAGATCTCATGACTAATGCATGAGATCCAAAGTTCTTTTATTCCTGGCTATTTTAGAAAACTGGGGTGTATTTTTACCCAAAAAACTAATTCTGTAAGATTTATTGAGATAATACAAAATGCCTTATTACAAACAGCTCACAATCAAGATTTTGTCCTACTGATGATCACAGAAACTCTTCCTCAATTTTAATTTTTTCAAAATTATGTATATATGCAACGGGTTAAGTCCAGGTTATTTTTTGTGGGTGCTATTCCATTTTAATTGTACTTTATTGTAAGTTCATTTAAACAGAAAGAAATATATGTAGAAAGTGTGCCTGTTATTTTTGCTTGTTTTTGTTTTTGTATGACGAACTGTGAAATGCTGTGTTTTTCCTATAGTTTTAGTCCATGAAATCTGCAATCTTTCCACTTGATTTAGGAAGGACCCTTAATTACTGCTGTCATTAGCGCATAGTGTTCAAAACAGCCTGTTAAAATGTACTGTTAGTCTCACCTCTAATCCCTGCTTGCTTTATTTTAATTTTTTTCCAGGGGTAACTAAAACAATAATTGCCCTAACAACAACAATCATGTACAGCAAATCAAATAACATTCCAAGTTTTTTGTTGCCTATTTCTTTTCGCTCAGAATTCCGCTTTTGTGTGTTAAGATTGGCCTAGAGTTTGAAAAAGTGTCCAGAAGCAGGATTACTACTACGGAGGTCTTATTACCTGGGTTTTTAAAACAAGCCACTCATTTGCCTTTTTCTTTCCACATGGACAGGGATGACAGACAACTGCTGGGAAGCTTTAATGTTTCTGCCTGGTCATGCACAGTTCTCCACTATATGCATAAATGTATATATCAACAACTTGGGATAGCTTGATACCTCGCTTGGAATAAGGAAATCCAGCCAGGCGCGTCCACGCGACCGTCCGCGCGTGCACACACGCACACTTACACCCAGGCGCGCGCACGCACGCGCACACACACAGAAACACACACACACAGGTCAAAAGTTGATTAATTCCCGAGATCCCCCAGAATCTTGTTCTCTTTTCTGCCAGCGCCGACTCCCCGGTCCGGGTGGCAGTGAGGTTGGGGGCGTGCGAGGGGCGGGGAGGAAGGGCAGAGGGAGGCGGGAGCTGGGTGCCGGGCGCCGGTGCGCGCCGCGCCCGCTCCTGCCGGGTGTGAGTCCGGGCCGGGTTTTGCGCCGTGTCCCCGGGCTTGTCTCACGGCCTCCAGCCGCCGCCGCTGCCGTGTTTACTGAGCTCGCGCGTCCTGATATCACTCCGCTGGCATGGAGGAGGAGGAGGAGGTGGAGGAGCGAGAGGAGGAGGCGGCGGCGGCGGCGGCGGCGGCGGCGGCGGCGGCGGCGGCGAGCAGTTGATCATTGTGATGGTGGCAGGAGCAGCGGCGGCAGCGGCAGCCCAGCCGAGCGTTAGGGGCTGCTCTCCGCGCGGCGTTTTGCAAAGGACTTCACCGATCTACTTTTGCAGTCGCCTCGGACTGTCCATGTGTTTACTTCCCCCAGCCCGAGGATTCGATATCTAGGTTCCTGTGAAATGCAACTGAGCAGCCAAAGTACTTTGAGAACACGGGGCGGCATAAACACCAAAACTTTTTTGTGGAAGGAAAATGCAATAAGCAAGCTTGCCGTTTTCCGATGCGGTGTGGAGTGAGTGTGTGTCGCGCGTGTCCGCACTGGAGGCATATGCTTGTGTGTGTACATGGGTTGTGTTTTTCGGTACGTAGGGAGAAAATGCTTGCCAACCACCGGAAATCTCTTGGAATTTATTAGAAAATAATGGATTATGAAAAGAAGGCAGGCGAAGAGCGGATCTTCCCTTGAGTTGCAACCCGATTTGCTGCTGGCTCAGTTTGTTGTGATTCTTTTTGTTGATAGGTGTCTGATGGTATTCTGATAACACCCCCCCTTTTTTCCCCTCGAGCTTTACAGTTTAAAAAAAGGAAACAAAAAAACCACCCCAAAAATCTCTCCCCCCCCCCTTTTTTTTTTCGCCCGGTCGGGATCGCTGTTTCCATCCATGTGCTTGCGTCTCCCCCGCGTTCCACTTAAACTATTTTAATCCTTGGACCCAAGGAGGAGGCTGATAGGGGGTGGATAAAAAAAGTTCTTCCAAAATAGTGTGCCCGGGGAGCAGGATGGGGGATTTCGCAGCCCCCGCTGCTGCCGCGAATGGCAGTAGTATTTGCATCAACAGTAGCCTGAACAGCAGCCTCGGCGGGGCCGGGATCGGTGTGAATAATACTCCCAATAGTACTCCCACTGCTCCGTGTAGCAGTCACCCCGCTGCCGGCTGCGGCAGCGGCGGCTCCGGGGGCCCGGGCGGCGGATCGGCGGCCGTCCCCAAGCACAGCACGGTGGTGGAGCGGCTCCGCCAGCGCATCGAGGGCTGCCGGCGCCACCACGTCAACTGCGAGAACAGGTACCAGCAGGCTCAGGTGGAGCAGCTGGAGCTCGAGCGCCGGGACACCGTGAACCTCTACCAGCGGACCTTGGAGCAGAGGGCCAAGAAATCGGGCGCCGGCGCCGGCAAGCAACAGCACCAGAGCAAACCCCAGCAAGATGCGGAGGCTGCCTCGGCGGAGCAGAGGAACCACACGCTGATCATGGTGAGGGCGCGCTGGCAGCGGGCACGGGGAGCGCGCATGAAGGGGGTGGGGGGCGCGTGGAGCTTCTTAACAAGGGGGCGCGGGGATCTGATTTGCACGGCGGGCGAGGTGGGCAGAAGCTGAAGGGTTAACGTCAACTTTTTTGAGGTAAAAGCTGCCGTCGCCGCTACCTGTTAATCTGTCAGTGTTGTCAGATTTGGGGAAGAGGGGGCGAGAAGGGGGGGAAGCCAGTCACGACTGCAAGGGGCGGAGGGAGCCTAGAGGAGCGTCGGAGTAAGGCACTGGAAAAGTTTTACCCCCTTCTCCCTTTCTTAGATACCGATTTGAAAGAGTGTACCGAGTTGAAACCTCGCTCCTCCTCCTCACCGCTCCCTACCCCATCCCTCACCTCGCCGCCTGGGCTCCCCAGACCCGTCCCCCTTTGCCCACCCCGCTCCGCACATCCGCCGGGTGTAGGGAAGAATTGATGCTGTCGCAGATTCTGGGCGGGCACCAGGCTCTCGAACCCCGCGGGGAGGAGGAGGGACGGAGATGCTCTCGCCTCCTCTCCCCGGCTCACCCACTTTGGGCTGAGAAAGTCTAAGAGTTTTGTGAATGAACTTTGAAGTGGGTGAGAAACGAGTGAGGGTGGCGGCGTGCGCGCGCGCGCGTCGGCGAGGGCGCGCGCGGATGCGCTCCCTCGCGGTTCGAGACCCCCAGCTGGCCCGGCAGGTGGAGCGGCCCCCGAGGGTCGAGGCAGGAGCGGCTCGCCCGGGCGGGAGGGGAGAGAGACTCCCTGGACTAGCGCCGAGAGTCCCCGCCACGCAACTTCGCTTTGGATTCTCTCCCCACCTCCTCTTAAACTTGCTTGCACGGAGGCTTCTCCGCTTCTGTCTCCCGCCCCGTTCCCCACCAACTTTCCGGGCCTGTCTGATAAGCCTGGAGGAGTGGAAGGTAGCGGGGAGGTGAAAGAGGCTTAAATGGCTGGGTGGGTGGGTTCGAGGTAGGAGGAGCAGCCAATGGCTTAACTTCTCCGGAGGAAGGGGCAGTTCCCACCCCCTAACCCTGAGGGTAGAATCCTTTCTCCTATCTCCACTCTCCGGTTCTTTTGCTTTCCTTTCGGGGTGGGGGGGCGAGCCGGAAGTTTGGGAAAGGTGTCTGCAGCCCCCTCCCCCGCCGCGCCGCCCTGGTTTGGGTTGCGCGCGTGTGCGGGGTGGGGCGGGCGGTGGGAAACCGGGAGCGCAGCGGGGCCGCGCGCCTTCGCCTGTTTAACCCGCAAATCGCACCTCGATGGGCGGCGCGGGAGGCCCTGTCGGTGTGCGGCGTATGAATAGCGCATGTCCCCCGTCCGGGCGTCGTAGGCGCCCGGGGTGGTGCGGGTGCTGGCGCGGGCTTTCGCCGGGCGTTCCGTGACAAAGAGCCGTCTTGGGGGAGGGGAAGAGGAGAGGCCACTGCTCTCACTCCCCACCTCCCCCACCCCGCACGTGAAGAGGAACAATTTGTTTATCTTGGGCTTCAAGAATCCTTCCCTCCTCCGGGTTCTCCGAGGCCGCCCAGCCCCTCCTCCCTCCCCTCCCTGCTCGGCGCGATCCTGCCCAGTCCCGTCGGCAGCACCTTCCCTCCTCCTTTTCCTTGGCCGCCCCCCCCCCCCCTTTCCTCCTCCCACCTTCCTCGAGCCCGCCTTCCCCCTCCCTTCTGGAACGCGGCCGTGGGGGAGGGAGCGGGAGGCGCTTTGTCCGCTTGGCGGCGGGGCTCGGCTCGGGAGGCCGCCCGGCTGGGAGGGGCGCTGCGCCCCGCGGCCCTGCCCCTCCCCTGGGGACCCGCGCTCCCCCCGCGCCCGTGCGCGTGGAGGCGGACACGGTGGGGAGGAAGAACGACGGTCACAGAGTCAGGGAGGGAGGTTCTCGCTTTACAAACAGGAAGCCGAAAACCACTGACACCCTGGCTTTTCTGATTGTACCCGGAGGCGGGGCGGACCTGCATCTCGACTGTATCTCGCGTGCCCTGGTGGTACCCATTTCTCTCCGGGTCCGCGCCGTCTCCCACTCCCCGTCCCCTTTAGCGCCCTTCCACGGACGAGGAGACTCACTTTTGTACCTAAGACTCAAGTAGCATTTGAAAGGCACTGAGAATGTCATCCTTGCCTGCTACACGCCCTCTTTTCCTGTTTTTTTTTTTTTTCTAAGCCCCACGCGCTCGGATTGCGTAGGAATGGGCTTCTTTGGGGAGGCTCCAAAATTTTAGTCCCACCGCCTCTCTGCCGACCTTTCGGGACTGGAGGGTTGGAGGACTACCGCGCCAGCTGGGCAACGCGGGAACAAAAGCCGGTGCCGGGTCGCTTTTGATCGCAGGCGAGAGCAGTAGAGTTTGCAGCCAGAAAGTTTTAGCGTTTGGGTTGTGTTCCCTCGTGGGGGCTATATGGGCCCTGGGAGGGGTAGAGAAGGGGGACCCCTGGTGCGCGCGCCTGGGTTGTGATACACCCGCAGGTGGGAGGCTGCACAGGGTTCTGACGTTATCTGGAAGGACAGAGCAAGCCCAAGCCAGAGCTTGCTTTTGAAAATGAAAAGATAGAGCTTACTTGAATAGAGGAGTCGTAAGCTGTAAATTTCATGGCGAATCCCAGTTCAGCAAGTTAACAGCTAAACTTGAAAAATGATTGCCTGAAAATAACATTCTTCTGTCAATTTTATGACAATAATTTAGCCTATTGATGAGACTGATGTACAGGAGTATATTTTAGCTTCAAGTGTATTTCATACGTGCATCTCCCATTGATATGTGGCACAAGTTTGTGTGATGAGTGTAATGAAAATCAACAGCCTTCAATCTTAAGCCGAGTTGCATGTGAATTCTATGTACCACATAAAGGGGAAAAGTTAACATCCTCCCCTACAAGTTATTTTTGCTTTAAAGATAATTAGTTCAAAATTTTACATAGATCTCTGAAATGAAGGAGTGTTTCAACTTGGCCTGTTTATGAGGTAACAATCTTGAGAACAGGTTGCAAAGAAAACGTTGATCTTGAATTAGCAGCTGGATTTTAGTTGGGCTCTGGGAGAGGGGGCACAGAGCAATTATATTTAGTTCTCAGGTTGAGCTCTCTATTCGGAAGGCCTTAAAGAAAAGCAGCAATCAACCAGAATCAGATACTAATAATGGTGATGATAAAAATAAAGATGAATAGGATTTTTTTTCTGTTTTATTGCTATTTACCTTCTTAGGGCCAATATGTCTAAAGTACTAAATATTGATTAGTTCTCTTTCTGCTTGATTTGGGTTCAGAAGGCAGTCTAATCAAGGCTTACCTCTTTTGATTTGTTTTCTTATCTTTCACATATACAAGCATGGGCATGAAAAACAAGCAAACCAGAAGCAGAGTGGGAAAGGAGACATAGAAATCTTCCTTGGCTCCAGCCTCCTGGAAAGGGCTTAGGTTTTTGTATGGGTCCGTAATAGCCCCTTTGGGCTTCCCAGGTGGCCTAGTGGTATAGAATCCACCTGCAAGAGAGGCAGGAGATGTGGGTTTGATCCCTGGGTTGGGAAGATCCCCTGGAGAAGAAAATGGCAACCCACTCCAGTATTCTTGCCTGGGAAATCCCATGGACGGAGGAGCCTGGCGGGCTACAGTCCATGGGGTTGCAAACAGCAGGACATGACTGAACACACACATTATAGCCTGTTTAGAGAGTAGATGGCCCAGGCCTGGGTTTGAAGCTGCATTCCCTCAGGTGAAAGATAGTTTCTAGAGGTGTAGTTAAGTGACTTTCTCTACACACACTCTTATTTATTCAGAAGGGTCCTCCCCCACACTCCCATCCCTAAGAGTTGCTGGTAAGAAAAATGCAGTTGAAAAGATGGCTTTTCCTGAAGTAGTTTTGTTTGTTGTAGCAGAATGAGACATTATTCATTTTCTGTACTTGAAACTGAACCCCTGGATAAAATTTTAAGATAAATTCCAGTTGACAAGTTCGTTCTCATTCAGGCATACCAAATGTTGCATGAGGATGTAGCCTTCAGAATCTCAAATGGCAGTAGTTTACTTGACCTGGATAAATTCTGTTTTCATGACCTTTCTACTTATCAGCATTATCATAACTTTCACAGTGTGCTTAATTTATACACAGCTTAGAGACTGCGTAAATCTATGTGATTCCTGCTCTTAAGAGTTTATCACATTGTTTATTTGATAATAAGCAGATTAAATGCTGAGTTTTAGAGAAAACTACAGTCTATCCAAAGTGTTTGGATTTCCAGTCTTTTCTTTGGACAAGACCCTGATGCTGGGAAAGATTGAAGGCAGGGGGAGAAGGGGACAGCAGAGGATGAGATGGTTGGATGGCATCGATGGGCATGAGTTTGAGCAAGCTCTGGGAGTTGGTGATAGACAGAGGTGGCTGTTGTGCTGCAGTCCATGGGGTCGCAAAGAGTCAGACACGACTGAGCGACTGAACTGATCCGAAGTGTTCTTTGTCATCACCTCCTGGAAGAGAAACAGGAAATATCAATATACTAGTCCAGGGCTAAACCTAAATGAGGCTGGTTTGCTTTGCTTATCCTGTTGAAGGTAAATTACTGGCTTTGTAGTCAAGTTTTTTGCACACCTGTTATGTCAAACCATTTCTTAATCTTTCTTATGAACTTTTTCTCTGGCTTATCTTGTTCTACTGCTCTCCTGGGTGATAGGATTTGACAGTGTCTCTTGAAAAACTTTCCATAGCCCACACAGGATGTGCCTTAAGTTTGTGAAAAACTTTTTGAAATTTCATTTCCCTTCACAAATGTTTGTCTTTTAATTCTCAAGAAGCATTAAAAAAAGAAGATGAAGAAGCACCAATACATACTTAATTGTGTTACATATGTTCTTTAGTTGTGGTACATTTTGTTCAGTACTGGGTAGCCAATGATCAGAAAAGTAAAAGCATAGTTAATCATTTGTCATAATCTAAAATACTCTTCAGGCTGAGTTTCTTATCAGGGAAAGCTGAGTTTCCAGGGCGATAGCGTGTTTGATGCTTTCTATC